TTATAAAAATGGAAATACTATGTAATACATGCATTAATTTTCTATTTTTAGTATAACTTGTACACATGACTTTTGGTCTAAATTTTATACACTGCCTACATCACTGACTTCTATTTAATCCAAATTTACACATAATTGACCTTATACTATAAGAAGCTAAAAAAGTGATCTTTCTAGAAGAAAAGATTATTTCTGTACTGCTTTCTGTATAATGGATTTAGAAAAATTTACAGAATTTATTCTTCAAAACCCACAAATCCCTTTGAGGAAATGGCTCAGAAATTCCTAGAATTACAAGATAAGTAAGCAATGCATATAGTAGTTAGGAGGTTATTATAACATGCGTTAGGCATAAAGTAGAATGTGACAAATATCAAAGTTTACTCTTCATTTTGTTGTCTATCGTTTATGTTTTTATCCATTTGATATACTGTTGTATTTAACTAACTTTAACTAATTTATGGTGCTTTTTACCTTCTACGTTCTTGATACATTCTGTTGATAGAATTTTTTGACATTTTGCAACATTAACATTAATTTTTATCAATTGTTTTTAGGTAAAAACCAGAATGATTCAACAACTTGTAATAAGATTTACCAACAGGAAATGCAAATTATCAGGACTGCTTTTAAGATCAACTATGATAATCCAAGAGGTTGTGTTAAATATTTGCTAGATTTCTGTGATACTTGGATATGTCACTAGAGGAGATCAGAATATTATGCACTATACTCGGCCATTATTTAGTCAAGTGGGACTGGCAAGTCTCGATTGGTTGTGAAACTCACCAAAAAGTGCTTCATAATATATTGCTATTTTCAAGAAATCAGTAACATTAGTTACCCTTCAAGGTCAGGGATTGCTGATTTGCTTCTGCCAACGGCAATTGTCAGTAAACCTAATAGTCAGCGGAATATAACCTTATATTTATCATATTTGATATCTTCAGTTGAAATTTTCAGTTAAACAATTTCATCAAAAAACTTGACAAAAAATGAATGGTTCAATTATTATGTATTACAGACAGACAATGATTTTTGGAAGAAAGTGGGTATTAATATGAGAGAAATTCAAGACAAATTAACCACTATGAAAGAAGTTGAATACTGTGAAAGGATGCGGTAAGCTCTTGATAATGCTGGTTTTTTATTTGATTTCTACTTCAATGTTCAGTTTATATTTATTTTCGATGAAGCCCATTTCTTACTTCTGACTGAGACGAGAGGTGACTGCTTCATCCCTCTTCAACATGCTCTCCAATATTTACTAGAATATGGAGAATCATATGGAAGGACATTTACGCTTTTATTGGATACTATATCAATAGTTGCTAACTTTATTTCTGAAACTTTAAATGACTCATCTAACCGTATTTTGTGCAGGGTCTTAAATTAATGCTACCATTTTATTTAATGGATACCATTAATGATATATGGACTGCATTTAATCCACCTGCGACTGTAATGAAAATGCATGATCTAATACGCTTGGCATTCTTAGATTAACCACTATTTTATTTATATATTCAGACTTTAAATTCTCAAGCTTTACATCAGGACATACTGACCATTCAGAACTTTACCTGCTTCAAACTTGTATACTCAACAGAATTTTCTAATAAGTTATCAATGATTAAAACACTCAGTGTATTCTCAGTCTGACTTTGTCTTGATATTGTTCTAACTAATCACATAGTATCTGAAATGGTTGGTAGTTATTTACGTTTATGTATATTTATTAGCAAGTCACGTCATTATCTGTTCACAATATCACCCTCAAAACCAATATTGGTAGATGTGGCAGTAGAACTCATATTTTAACTTGATTATCTAATCAAACTTATTGATAAACTCTTTGATGCTACACATTGTGAGGTAATTGATGATGGTTATTAAGGTAAGCTTGTTATAAGATTGCTTCTCCTTCTGGCAGCTGATATTGCAAGTATAAGTAAAAGCAAGAGTGGTCTATTGTATAAATCTCTTAATTAAACATGTTTAATTAATGCATAATTTTTCCTTGAAATACTTCTAGGAAAAAATCTATTGGATTAATTTCAACAGTGAAAGACAAAGAATGCTCAAAGTTTATGAGTGAAACTATTTTTTTTACACATTTTATTCCTATGTTTTATTTACCAAGGAGACAACATCTTCTTCATGCTATAACATGTGATATTGCAATTATTTATAAATAAAATAATGCTGAAGTAGATTTGATTATCCCTGTGCTGCTTGCATCATCCAGTTCTGTGGTCTTCACCTCATCTTCTACAGATGATTCTATCTCTCAAAATACACATCAATACCCTGAAGACTTTGCTTTTCAACCTGAAAGCATTGATGAACTATTTGATGATTTAACTTTTAAAATAATTGTTAATAGTTCTATGAAGACAACTCGATTATCAAGTATAAGTAAAATTTTTTAGATACAACTTTGAAGGCAAAAAAGAGTTTGATAAATTTAAAGGAAAGATGTATACTTAGTTCATTAACTATGTATTATGTCTTTTTATATTACATATTTAAGAAATTCAAGATTCACACTTGAGTAATTTTACTGAAGGGGCTTATAAATTTCATCTATCATTTATCTCATTTATCCTTATACAAGTGAAAAATTATCAAGATTCATATGATTCATATACAAAAATTGCTTGAGAAAGAATTCAGTCACAAATGTGTAAGCTTCTTGATAAACCTGCTAACTTTCTATTTATATCACTATACATATAATTAGGTAGTAAAATAACATGTGTACAAGAGCTTTTTGAAATTCAGAAACAGTTTATAAAATCTGAAGATGAAAATCTGAAATCAAAATTTAATCCATATATATTAGATTCTATAAAAAAGTATCAAATAGGCTTGGCAACTTTTGGAGTAAATGAGAAAGTATTTTCTTGTCTTGCTTTCTCTTATGTAATAGCTAATAATATAAAACTTAAAATCTTATTAAATTGATATAAGAACTCCTTATATCATGGTCTGATCCTACTACTATACATGAAAATATAAATTCTGATACAAATCAGACTATTTATGCTTCATGAATTGGGGCATATAATAATAGATTATGGGATGATACATCAGTATTGAATAAAATGATATAGAAATAGTTTAAATATAATAAAGTGATAATATCAATGTAATAATAAACATATTATAAAGTATATGTAATTGATATAAACCTGTTTATTATTTTATTTAATATTTTAATTCAGTATTACAATTGTCTAAAGTATTTGACAATTACATTTGGTTAAAAGACTTTAGTATATAGCTAATTTGATTATTTGCAAAAAATATATAACTTGTATACATTTATTCAATTTAAGATCAACAGATATAAAAAAAAATCAATAAACTATTAAATATTAAAATTTATATATAGAATTACTTGTATATAAAAAATAGTGAATATTATAATTCAACTGAATATAAAAGTAATACATTTTTTGAAGATGAGTTGCAATTATAGTTGTTTAAAAAAGATTTTAAGAAAAAAGTTTGTCAAGTTATATAAGGTGTTTTAAGTACTTTTTAGATTAAAATAAGATACAGTATATTTTAATAGTTTGTTAAAAACAATGAATAATAAAGAAATAATTGCTAACTAATGTCTTAAAAAAATGCATATTAATAAGAGAACTTTTTATTATTGAAATCATATTATATCTCTTTATCAGAAAATATATTAGATAAAAAACTAAAATTACCATTAATATAATCATTGCTATTTTTATGAAAAATTTTTTAAAAATTATATTGAAATTCATAAACTATCAAGTTGTGATAGAAATATTAATTATATTATTCAATTATTTATCATAAAGCATATTCTATAGTACTTCTTATATATAATGATTCCCTTCTTTTGAAACACTTAGAATGTAAAATATCCTAAGTATTATATATTATAAATATATCAGCTCTATGTAAAGTACCTAATACTAAATATTACAATATATTTTTAAATAAAAATTTATTTTATTAAATTTTATAGTAATTTGCAAAAAAATCTTTATTATCAATTTATAATTTATAATTCATTTGTCAATTAATTAATTTCATGAATTTTCGTAATCATCAATAACATCATTATTATATATACTATCTTTAACTACATCAATAGGATTTTTATTTTTATCATTTAGCAAATCATAATTAAAGATAAGATCATCTTCAGTATCATCTTTTGCTATAAAGATTCTACAACATTTAAAGGATTTTTTAAATTTTTCAACATCAACATTATCCTAAGTTACTTTAACTTGTTGCATAATTTTATTATAAGCAGGTCTTTAATCTTTTCAATTGAAGTAAAATTATGAACTTCTTTAGCTATCCATTTATTATATAATTTATAAAATTATAAATAAATATCTTTGATTTAAAAATTTTATTAACTCTAATATCTAATGATTGAAGTTTGCTGGTTAATCCTTTAGGGATTATTATAATATCTATTTATTTTTCATATAGCCTATTTTTAATACTATTAACCAAATGATCATGAAAGAAATTAAATATTAAAAACTTCTTAGATTAACATTTGTATTAACCCTATTATATCAAACATTCTCAATCTACTAAAGTATTTTTACCTCATTTACCTTTTTTATTGATCTAAATTTTTACTCTATCAGAAAAAAATTTACGAAGTATATTTTTAATTTGAAAATGATTACAGATTCTAATTTAGTTCTATCTGATATACATATCAAAACTACAGTGGAACAACTTTTTTTATAATTACAATCTCTAGCGAAAAGAATGGTGAAAAGTTTTTTTGAATAATAAAAGTTTTTAATAAATAACTTTCAAAATTTTTTTTATTCTCAAATGTTTTTGATTAAAGAATTATATATTCAAAAAAAATTAAAATATAAAAAGTATTCTCCTTCTTTATCAATATGAATTTAAATACAAGTTAAAATACTAAAAAATTAGAAAGTTAACCTTTCTTTATATTAATTTAACTTCATGATTAACATAGTAAAATTTTTTGTAATTTTAATTTTAATGATCAAACATTCAAATTTGATCTTGTTTTACAATTGTAAAAATTTTATTTATATTAAAATATACATTGCGGACTTCAATAATACACATAATATTTAGACTAGTAATATATATAAAATATTATGTAATTGTTTATACAAATCTTTTCAAAAGAAAGTTAATTATATAGTAAAAGTTTGTATTGCCACTCTTTTCACTAGAAACTGTAGTTGATCTAATAATAACAGTTTAAATCCCTTCATTTCTAATATAATTAGAATATAATGCTTACAAGAAAGAAGAAGTGAAAGATTTACTGAAATATAAAAAACATCTGATTAAGACTAAGTTAAAATAAAATTATTATAACAATAATATGAAATTAGCAGAACAATAAAGAAAATTGGTAGATTAATATTTTATGATAAAAAGTAAAGCTAATTATATTGGATAATACTCTTATAAGAATATTATCTAATTACATTATAATATTATCTATTTATAAGTATAATATTATTTATTGATATCTATTTATTTTCATTGCTTTATGTTCTTTTTGTTATCTTATAGCTATCTGCTTATTTTTATTATTCTAATCTCTTTTATTATTTTATAACTATTTGCTTATTTTTATTGCTTTATAATTTTTTTATTTTAAAAAAGTTGACTATGTATTTTTATTATTTTACATCTTTTATTGTTAAAAAATAGTATTAGTATTATAATAATCTGTAATATATTTTTCAGTTAAATTTTAGCTGATCTTTAAGACACATGATTTGAAGGATTTAACTCAGTAACCTAGTAGTATCTTAAAACTGCTATAAATCTATTATGAAAATGATAGAGAGTCAAAAGTATTTTAGCTTAGATATTAAGTTATTATGTTTTAATTTTGACTAAAATTATAAAATAACATAAGCTAAAATTAAAACAAATTATAATAATATTAGAAACACTTACTTAAAAGATTTTTTAGAATTCTAAAGTATTAAAAAATTTATTTTTCTAAGAAGTGTTTCTTATATCTTTTAAAGACAACTTTCTAAGTTAGTTCTATATTTTATCAGATTTTTTATATTATCAAACTTTGTTTTAATATTTTTGAAGTCTTATAGAATCTGAATATCTCTTATTTAATTTATAAGTAATATATAATAAAATGCATTTTTACAATAACTTAGTTAATATTAATCTTAGAAATATAATTTATTATTATTAGATTTTTCTTATTGAAATGATTCCAATAATACTAAGATTATTTAAATCTAATTACTGAATAGCTAAAATCTAAAATATTTAGAATAATAAATTTAAAGATTTCCTATAATATGTAATTTTGCTGAAATTTACATATAAACTCTATATAAATTCTAATTTAAATTATAAAGAGATTAGCACTTTGGCTCATTCTGTAAAGTGTGAGTCCCCATTATAGGTTACACTATAATAGATCTTAGTTTAGCATCAGTTAAATGCAAATCGTAATATTAATTTACTACAGATTTTATTAGTTAAATTCTAAAATTGAATTTTATAGGATGCATACAAATCATGCATGTGAATAAATCATGAATTTGTAGAATATGATGACCCTTGAAGCTATCTATGTGATAATATTAGTCTCAAATCTTTCTGTTTATGAGTAGAAATTATAGTTAATGAATCTACTGGAAATATTATAAAAGATAAAACTTATAGTATAAAGGAGCTGGCTTGTAATAGGCAAATATTATATTGTTTACTTAGGGTTAGCTTTAGGGTAGCATCTAATAGTAGATATAAAATAATAGCATAAGTTATAAAATTTAGATAGTTGATCTTGTATTGTCTTTAGCTATCATATGTTTAAACCCTATATTAGGGGAGAGGTTGAGTTCGATTCTTAAGTTATTTGATAATATGGTAAGTTTGATCATTCTTTAGACTAGAAATAGAGTACCTTACTTGATCTAGAGTTCTAGACAAGTCGAGTTAACTCATGAGTCAGATAAGCTGAGTTGAGTTTAAATTAAATTGAGTTTATATTTTTTTGACTCGATGATTTGCGAGTCAAGTCAAATTCAAGTTAAGTTAAATATTTAACTCAACTTGATTTAAACTCGACTTGATTCGAGTTAATTTGAGTTGACTTGAAATAGTATTATTTTTAGGGATGTTAAAATCCAGTCTGATCTTAGTCTAGTCCTGAAACTCCCAGTCCATAGAATTTAGGTCCTAAGATTGGATTTTAGGACCAAGTCCTGAAACTGCAGTTCTAGAACTGCAGTCCTATAGAAAAATAATTGTTTAAGAAGAATGATAAGAAATCGTTTGACTTTAACAATAAAAAAATCGTTCAAGAAGAACGATAAGAAATCATTTGACTTAAATGATAAAAAAAATCATTCAAGAAGAATGATAAGAAATTGTTCAACTTGAACGA